AGTTCCTGCCTTTGCGTTTGCATTGGATCCTCCTTTTTACCTGTAGAATTATGGTCTACTTCGGTATTAGCACTGCTTTAATAATAGACCTAATCCTAAAATTGCAGATTTGTTAGGTTGTAACTGTCTAATCTATAAGATCTTACGTGAAAGTCACATCATTGTCTACACTGACTCATCGTATCTTAACAATTACCAGTATGTGATGGAGAACACATTCAGGCTGGTGATAAAACAATATATTTGATATGAATAAAAGGTTTAGGACAACACTCACAGCCGCGCCATGCCAGCCGATCAATTTGAACTAGTTGTATTTATTCTACCCGCCCTCTCCATAGTTTTGTCTTTCTCCGCGTTAAATGCTGAATATCTGTTGTCCTAGTTATCTCCTGTTTAGCTTTGAAGATTGTTTGATTTGGGCCCAATGCCACTAGACACCGATGACGATGCTGTCCAGGCACGTGAAAGTTTCCACCTCTTCTAGAGCTTCCTTATCAAGTGTGGTTGAGTTGGTTTCCACCGTGCTGTATTTAAGGATCTCGCTTTTTCCCTTATGTATGTTGAGGCCTAGTGCCTCAGAGACTCCTGCTACTCTAGTTGTTTTCATCTGCATCTGTACGTGTGTATGGGAGAGAAGAGCAAAGTCATATGTAAAGTCCAAATTGTTCAATTGCATCTAAATTGCTCATTGCATTCGTGCTCCCTCTCACATGTTGAGGTCTTCATAATCCAGTTGACCACGAAAAGACAATAAAAGAGGTAACATGGTGTTTTTATTTCTTGGAATGAACTTCTGAACTTCCGAATTAACTCTATAAATTCGTTATATTTATTTCAGCAATCAACCGATCACGAACCTAAGTTTCCAGTCGGTTTTCAAAATTGCACGTCGTGGCCTGTTTTAGTTGTTCAAGCGTAAAGTCTTCAACTCTTTGATCATATAGTCGCTCCATTTTATGAAACTTCGAATTTCATCCGTATCCAAAACGAGCTCGCTTTACATGGCAAGTAGAAATACTTTGAGAGATTCATATGACGATGAGACCTGTTTCTTTGATAAGCAAGATCCTTTGGCAAGTTATACGCTTGTTTGTTAATGAATGTCGAGAAATAAGCTGTAAATTTATCACCTTCGATATTTTTTCTAGTTGTGCGTCAGATTCCGAACCGCTCCAAATAGTCTTCGACGTCATCCCCAGTTGAATTAATATTCAACTGTCCAAAATTTGGCTTTATCGCGTCACCGACATGGTCATTATCAGTATTTTAATTAATGTTCTGACTAAGAATTCCCGAAATAGTGCAGTTTAAGGCAGGTGGACACTGGATGGGCACAATTGACCGCAGGCCCGTTTAAAATGGCCGATCCTTACAAAGCCGCCCGCCGTTTCGCTTCAGCGACATTGAGCTGCCTGACAAGAAGCAGACATTCCGTATTGCAAGTGCGTGGGTTTGTTGGATGTCCGTTTCGTTGTACGAATATTTAAGTCATCCTTTTCCGCAGTATAATCACCGAATCACTGCGTAAAACATTAATTTACCTTCCACTGTGTACACAATGGCTCCATTGTTGCTTTGTAGCTTGAACTGAGATATCAATTACTTTATTGAACCTCAGTGTCCTTGTTTAAAATTCGGTGGGGTCCACAAAACAGCATCTCGAGAATAACTTAACAGTTATAGATACGCGAAATTTGTGTGAATCGCTTTTTTACACAAGGATTAAGAGGAAATATCAAGTAACCTGTAAGTCTTAAATGTTTGTAACGCTTTCTTCAGTTATTAATTATTATTGCAAAGAATAACTTTTTTTAATAATTAATAAGTGCTGTTTGTAGTGCTTTGTATTCAAGAGACATTGCAGTCGACTTAGGCAAAGCGTTTTAATGTAAAATACTGAAAAGGCGTTTTGGAAGCTGGTTTGAATTCGATAGTATGCTAAAGGAATTCCAAAAGAGTATGGAGCAGTAATTTTGTCCCTTTTCATTCCACCCATGCTCATTACATTCACAGCGAATGTAAACTGCTGAAGAACATGAAATTTAAGTTTATGTCTGTGGTGTTTCATTGCATATTTGGTCATAAGCATAAACCACAGGGTCTAACAGTAAATCGAAAACCATGAGTACTTTAATTGGCATGTGACGTTTAAAGTCAAAGCTTCTAAACTGCCAATCAAGGTTTTGTGTAGAATTGGACGGCAAAGAATATGCTATAAAATCATGCAAGACACTTCACAATGATCTTTGGATGACAAACCATCCATGAACCAGCAGATTGTTCTCAAAAAAGAGGATGAGACTGTAATTACCATCAACAGATGGACTGATAGAAAGTATTAAGGATCGAACTGGTAGGTAGGTCACTTCTGCTGATGTGAAGACTATGAAAGCTCAACTCTCCACAGGTAAGTGTATAGAAGTATATTTTAGGTTGTTATACGTGACTCCAAGTAGTTGATATATTGCTGCGAAACGGTGAACTGAGAGAGTACCGAAAAAATGAATATGCTACCAGAATCTGCTTTAGTGCTTATAAGCAGATAAAATTGTATAACATTTATCCAGAAGTAGTTTGTACTGATTCTAATTACAATACCAATAATAAAAAGTACATATGGTTTTTCAATTCTACTATGTAGATATTTGACATTTCAGCTGGTAACAACGAATAATTTTGGATGCAGGCGTCCTGTCCCGTTTGCATGGACGGAAAAAGAATTTGGAGCAGATGTAAGATGGATCATGGATAAATTCAAAGAAATAATGAGGAATACGTCAACTACGCAAACACAAAAGGTTTTAGAGCTCATTTTTGCATAAAACTCTGATTGCGGTTTATTTTTGACTTGACAAATGGTGAATTTCACTTGCTTGAGTTTGCATTGTTAATAATAAATACATTAGGATGACTAAACATCCGCCCAGGTTGTGAGAAACAAATACATCAATCTATTATTAAACTAGAATAAAAGCTATGACGCAAGCAAAAACATTACGAAAATTGACGTGTGACGGAAAAATGCTGTTAATAGCTGATAAATAACGGCATCCGAAATCCTCGATAACATGTAACATGTGCGCGAAAACCCGTGTCATGACTTTTCGACCGTCCCCTGAACGCATTATATATTTGTCATTCGTAATAAGCGGGCAATCAAGTGCAAATTAATCATCGCTTAGTACGAATACCACAGATATGACTAACACTCCCCAAGTACTTGTAGCTGAAAAAGCATTTAGAACTAAAACCCTATAAGAGTGGATGACAAACATCCATCATCTAGTGCCAAACATACAATTGAAACGGGTCGTAAGACTGGTCTTTATACGGCTTTTGTGGTGTCGTACAAAAGTATTAGAAGGCGTATGCTAAAATTTGTTGAAGCTCAGACCATACGAAAATTCAAACTCCCTTCATGAATTCCAAAACAGTTTTCTCACACTAAACCTACCCTGGTAAAGTTAATTGATTATCCAGCGGGGTAAATTTTACATTTTTTTTCATATTATTTTCTTTATTGTGGTTGTTTTCTCTTACTCTTCATTTATCTAGTTGACTTTTTGTTTTTGTGTATAAACGTCCTTAACAGGAATATATGTGAACTGATTTTTCTAAATGTGTTGCGATACCCCATAATTCTGATAATCTTCGTCTTCCTGTTATACCACCGAAATTTACCACAAATTTATCTTACTTTCTTGTCTCTACTTTTTATGGCATTTTATATCATTAACTATCCGCTGCTATCTTCACCTTGTTGGCCTCTGACTGGTAGGCTTCCACTAGCCTAGATCCATCTTCAAACTGGAAATTTGACAAAGCCGAGGCTGACAAGGAGTTCCAGCTATACGGTTTATCCGTTCTTAAAATTCTGCTTTAGGCTGTCTATTCTGGGAACCTTGTGTATTTGGTTTAAATCCTTTTTTTACCTGTACTGAATCATTTGAAGTACCACACAAATCCAATAAATAACCCAGAAATTCCCCGTTAATGGTTTGACTCCTCTTGAACTTACATCGTATAAAAAGGTTGGTTAGTTTAGATCTACTGCGTTATGGATCTACAGAGGCTGGCTTTAAATCACGTCTACTCTTTCGCTGCAATTCAAAGACGTTGCTGTTCATTTTTCTCTTAATCGAATGGGCAATTCAGAAATTCAATGAAAAGTGTTTATGATTTCAAAATATCACCGTTTTATTTAGGGAATGCTTGAAATTTCCACTTTACACGTAAGACTGGGCTACGTGACATATAGGGAGGTGGATTATGATCTACAATGTGTCTAAGGCAATAAGTGTGCGAAACTAAGTGACAAGCACGTCTAAGGATGTCCTGGATGTTCAAGGTTGGACAACGTCTTTGCCATTAACACCTTGATTATCAAAGACTCAAATCCCAATCAAACCAGAAGTCGAGATTGAGGTGATTCGAAGATGTATTTGAAAAATGGTCGATGTCCCGAAATTCGCTCGATCTAAGCTGGCTAGTTGTTGCGAGGGATACGTAGCACGGAGCAACCAATGGTGAACTAGTGCAGTTGCTTGACCGGACACCTCCAGCTATGATGTGTCCAGAAAGAATAATGATGTCAGCATCAATATCGCAGAACTACAGAATTGTTTATCTTGGGGATTTATCTGCTGCTATTCGTAAATACCGAATCATGTGCTCGTATTCGATCCGGTCTATTCAAACAACCATTACCGGCATCGAATCTTAAATATCTGTCTACCAATATATTGGTTATTTCTTCTTAAACTAAGTTACACTAGAAGTTTTTTGCACTGTTAAACACTGCACCATTTTCCGTGACGGTTATCATGATAGCTCTCAAGTAGCTTACACATAAATTGCATTTTGTGCTTCTATCTCATTTGATCATAACTGTTTGACTTTAAACCCTGGCTGAATATCCACCGACTATCACTTCACACTTTTATGGAGTCAGCACTTCGTGTATTTCTGAAGTCATTAGAAATCTTAGTACTTTGTTTGTCTGAGTAGGCGGCGTACGTAGGCGCATTTAATGTATTTCTATTTTTGGAGTTTCAAAATATCGGGCTTTCTGTAACGATTACAGATCAGAGAAACATATAGGTTTTCACCATTCACCACAGTAAATTTTTGGCTCATGTAATTTTTGCTACGGAAGTGATTGCTTTATTACTTCATTGGCAGTCACCCAACAGTAAGGTAATGTGTTTAATGTCTTTTACTTTTGTTTTTACTAATTTTTTCGTCATTGTCTTTCAAACACAATACATATTTGTGTAAATACTTATGGTCGGGCCTGTCTCCACACGTTTATTCACTCTACTGTTTCTCAACGCTTATTTAAATGACGACCCATTGCTAGGCTTTGTCGATATTTTAGTGGTCGTGTTGTAAAAATGAGACCAATTATTTTGTCTTAAAAAGTCTTGCACGTTGTTTGATGACTAAGGAATGATGTTTTTGGCAGGCCATTAGTACTTCTCACTGAAGTAGTAGTTGATATACTTTTTGAATGTTCGTTGTATAAGATAGTGGTGGTTGTGTACGATGTCACTTTTCAGTGGGCTCATAGAATTCCACCGCTGACTTAATTTTCGGGGCGAAATAAACTAAGTTATCGACTGCAGATATGGTGTCTCAATGACTTATTCATAAGTATGAACACGCCTTTTGTATGCCTCAGACTAGGGGTATTGAGCGTAGTTTTGGAAGTTATTTATTCGCTATGAGTAAGTTGCCCTGGCTTTCATTAATGCTTCAAGCAAAACATCGGATAACCCTTATTAGTAGTGTATCAGTTGTTTAATAATTAATAGCTTAAAACCATGTGGAAGGAAAAGTCAGCAAATCCACAGTTTTATGCACTCTAGTCAGACGAGTCGCATGTTGAAGTATATGGCGACTTAGGCTGCGTAACATGTGGCTTTACAAACTTTCGCTGGTTGAATTCATCCGTCTAGCATTATTAATCCAACCTTTCAGTCTACAGTTTCGGTGAAAAGTGGATGTTGATTAAAAAACTTAAGGTTTGCTTAGGATGGCTTAGAATGTCTCTGAAGGTAGACGCTCGAAAGTAAGTAGCCAGGCACGTATATGTTTGCATTGACGAGTTTCCGTTGCTTCAATTTCAAAAGCGTATTGAGATTTATTTATTTAAATACCAACGTTTGTGCAAGGAGGCACCAAATATATGCGCCATAAATGTTTTGTTCGAGGGCTCGGCTACTACCCGGGCGCCCAAACCAAGGCAGGTGGTTTCCTTAGGGGGCCACGAGGAGACAGTGAGCAGGACTTCCCTGTCAATGGCTGTATACACGTGACCATGTGAGAGCATTTGGATAGGGAGAGCTGACTCCCCACTTCCAGGCGTACCAGAGAATTCAGGGGCTCGCGAAATGAGTGCAAATGTACGTAGTTCTTATATTATTGTTATCGTTTCCTTTACATCTTAACTGTATTTTTGTTTGTGCTGGGTGATTCAAACGAGGTTTTCATTCTTGTCCTAGATGTGTTTTGAAGTAATACTGACTTACCTAGATAAGTGTTCTTATGATTTGCATGCACCATAATAGCGATCAGACAGCAACTGAAGTGTTGTGTGACCGAAATCCTGGGTCGTTTTTGGTGACGGAGATTGGTAATTTGAGTTTTAGTCTTAGTTATACTTGGTTGTCTAACTTGTCAAAGGATTCTGCGTTAACTACTACGAAACCAATTTATCATGGTACAATGTAATCCCCAGACTTTACAGACTTGAATTCTTGACAATTTACTTTTAGTCACCCTCGGACTATCTAAAATCAATGTATTAAAGCTCAGTTATCTCGTATGCTGACCCCCCACTCTCGGCATTTGAGGCAAATAGAAACAATAACAGGGCGGATTTGCATGCATACAACATATAATTCTCTTTGAACCTAGCACACAATAACACCGTCATGAACTATCCCATCGTTCTTAGTAGATCAGGAAACCCGGAAGTCACGAAAACATCAGGACATACATCAGGCTAGGTACTGTAATATAAAGTTTGGAAGTCTACACGAATAACTAACCATTATCTTCGTTTAAACTTAGGGCTAGGACTCGGCAATTAAGCTCAGAACAATTGCGCAACGAGCTTACACTTAGTTTGGTCTATACTAGCCTTCACTGTAAATTAAACTTGAAGTATGCATGAAAACAGAAAAAGCTGCCAGGCTGCATCGTTATTCTATACTTAGACCTAAATCCGCTTGAGTTTGTTGTTCGCATTTATCAGTGCAGAATATATGTTAATAATGCAGTCGGATTTCAGTGGTCGAGAGTTGTACTCCACACAGTATGTTTTACGTTACTGAAATGAAAGTGAAGCAAGTGAATAAACGAAACAGTCAAGTTTCCCTTTTTTTGTAAACGAACAGGTAAGCTATCTACAGTGGCAATTATCTTAACATATTTGACTGATTTCTCAGTAGGTGCTGTTCTTGGATTTTCCCATACTATAGTCTACTGTTTTCTAACAGTGGTGTTTAGTTTACCTGTTTTGCATCTTAGCACCCGTTGTGCATATAAAAATGAGTAAAACTAGTTTCAGCACAACAATAAAGTGGTACTGAAATAGCATAATTAATGTTTACTTATACCTCAAGTGATTAAGTCATGTCACTGCAAACAAATGTTTTGCTAACAACTGAGTCGCGCTTAATTAAAAAATCACTTAGAGTTCCATTTATGCTACATTGACAGTAAATTCCTTTTTCTTGTTGTCCTTATAAACGCACTCAATGGAAATTATTCGAAGTTTTCTAGCCCTTGAAATTTTCAGTTATCTACAGAGGCCAACTACTGTTGATATAATTTCGGACTATTTTTCTGGCTTTTGATTGACACTGTGATTCGAGGCTTATTAACTTCAATCTGAACACGTTTGTGACTTCTTACATTCCGTTACATGAAGATTTTAATGATCAAATCGGCCGATTAGTTGACCGTGTGGGAATACAGAAGTTTTCATAGTTGTCTGGCTAACACTTGCTAGGTGGTATTTTTTGACTTTTTTTCTAGGTAACATCTGTGTAGCTTTATTGTGCCTCTTATATTTTTTTCATTTTTTGGTACTCTTTTTGAATTGATTAGTACTCTCTTTCGTTTAACCCTGTTCTACTCAGTCTTAGGTAGGTGGTGTTTCCTGACCATTGTGGTTTTTGTTCACCATAAGTGTTTTGATTTTGCGTGTATTTAAAAGTGTTTATTAGTTGAGTTGTTAATTATTTATTTTTCAGGCGTTAAATTTTTCATGAAACCGCTACAACTGTCCAATGAAAATTTATCTGAATTTGTGCAGTCAAATACGTTGGAGTCTGATTCAGGAGATTGTTTTGGTGTAAATGTTTACGAGTTTCAAGAAGGAGAAGATCTTTATGGTCCCCGTGCACGTGGTTATCAAAAACCTAAACATATGTGGATGGCCAAAGACCAAGCCCTAACGAATAATAAGTCAAACAGTCCAACTCCAGCGACAACTCTAGATTTTGTAAGTGATTGTTGCACCACTCAGAATGGTTGCACTTCTGTTCCTTCTGGTAATTTGAGATGTCCATCACCAAATAATATGACGTACACCATGGGTTCCCCATCAACATCTGGTAGTATCCAGGGCCTTTCAACAGCTCTATCGTCTTGTACCAACACAAGCAATAGTTTATGTAGTCATACCTCTCCAGTTATCGGTTTAAATATGGCTGAAGTCACTAGCACATTTGAGAGCCCTACTTTCATTGAAGGAAAAAATGAAAAAAGTGCACTGCTCACTTGCGAACTAAACTCTGTGATTAAAAAATCTAAATCCAGTGTCAAACTAACTACCAAAAAACGAACTACCGGAAAATATTCCCTAAAGAAATTTGAATCTAGCAGTAATACTAATTCATCTGTACCTGATACCAGTAAAGTTCAATCATCAAATAATAAACAGTCTTATTCTCACAGGCATCGACAACCTCGTTCTCGCAACAATCGAAAGTCCAAACGAAATTCTGTAAGTGAATCATCGTTGACTTCGTTTTATCCAACCCAAACTCCTAATTTGTCAACAGATAACCACCTGTCTTTATCACCCAGTTTGACTATGACGGAACAGATAAGCCAAGAATCTCCTATACAAGCACCTATGTATTCCAAAGGTTTAACTTCATCGTCTTTCGTTTCTGGCGGACTGAAAATTCGGCTTCGTCGGGACTCAGCTATAGATTTCAATATTGGGAAAGGTAAACGAGCTAAAAGTAAAACGGCTCCTGCAACATTTCGTATTGTAGAGTCGTGGTGTGATGCAGATGCTCCAGGAGGAGACTTTACCAGAAGGGCCAGGGCAGTTACCAGTAATTCTACTTCCCCTACATTTAGTCTGGTCTCAGGGGGATTACGTGTTGGTGATATAGTATGGGCTAAACTTGCTGGCTATCCGTATTGGCCATCCCAGGTTAACGCTATCTGGGCTCGCACTGCCCATCAGCTTTCTCAAGCCACTCTACTTCCAACTTCACAGTCATTGGACGGCAATGCGTCATCTTTGGCTGTTCTTGCGACTCCTTCAGATCCAAGTTTGGCGGCTGGATATACTGCTCGCGTTGACTGGCTTGCTTGGGATCAGTGTTCTTATTTAAGCTGTGCTAAGTTGTACCCTTTTAAAGAGTCTTTTGACAAACTTTATAATCCACGTACCCGGGTAAAAGGATACGCAGAAGCTGTGCGCCTTGCGAAGCAAATTGTGAATGGGACCTATATTCCCAATGAAAATTTGGATTCTCAGTTGTCGTGTATGTCTCCACAAAATAAATCTCATTCATCATTGTCTGGTCAGATTTCGGCGCCACCTAGTACTGATAGCCAGTGGTCATCTATGACAACTCTTTCATCTTCTCTAGAAATTCCGACTACAGGTACTAGTAATCAAACTTCTCGTGAATTAATGGACAAACACACCATACTATTGCCATCTGAATTACCACCAGATCCCTATATATCATCACAATTAAGTCCATCTCCCCATTCAGTCACAAACCTCTACTCTGGTGAGGGATTAGTGAGAACTTCAGACGCATTTTCATCTACATCTAATAACTCATGCCTTCTAATTGGTGATAAAAGCCTGGAACTGCCTGAATTGGACAATATGGCATTGTGGGCTCCTCTTCCCCAATTAGATGTTTCAGGTCTTGGTGTTTTCCATGTTCCGACCTTTTCAGAAGATGAGGAAGAATTGGATCAATCGATTGTGAACCAGCTGCACTTAGATTTCGGTTCATGTCTGCAATAATCATACAATAGCCATAATCGTGATATTAACAAGAAGGTAATGCTTTTTTTTATCTCCAATCTTTCAAAACACAAAGTGTATCATTTTTTGTTTATTCTTGTTTTTTCTTCTCAATATCTCTCCTTAATTGTGATAGATTTACACTTAATCTATGAAAATGTTCTGGTGCCTATTTTATGATATTGTCCCACCCTTGGGTTTGTTTTTGCCATCCTCCATTACATTTACTAGACTCCTATTAACCGAATATCACTTTTGATTTTACAAATCGTTTACTAGTAGTTCACACCCAGTTTGCAGCAGTCAAAATTTGGAATTGTGTATATTAAATAAGAATCACTGATGTGTTACAGTTACTGTTGTTATTGTCACTTTCTATGAAGTTGCAAGTCATGTATCGCACAGATCATCTCAATAAACTCATGTATTCAGGTATTTCTATAATGTAGTAATTGTGTATTAAGAAATTCAATTTTAACTTCTATCCAATTTTTTTTTTGTGCATATAAATATGGTTGCATGTGTTTCTATTTTTCATTGAATTTTTTGTACACATGCTCCAGCTTGTTATTTCTTCATTTTCTTTTAAATATCTGTTGTTCATTCACACATAAGAGTAACACATTTATGATCTGAATTGTCTGTTCAAGAATGTGTATTTACTGTTTCTATACCCAGTCATCTTTATATGGGATTGAAAAAGTAATCTCAGCTTCGTCTTCTTCTTCTTTTTTTTATTATTATTATTATGGGATCTTCCTATTTAGACATAATTGTCACCCTTATCTTTTAAAGAAAACAAACTGTGCTCATTTCTTGTATAAATATTATTTTTAAAGTTTAAAAAAAATTATCCTTTATCCTATATACAGTTATCATTCTATTCGTATTACAGTTTGATTTGAGATCATGAATGAAATAATCCGTCTTTGTAGTTTGTTTGTTTTTTCTTTTTCCTTTAAATGCTCACTTATTTTCTGGTCTCGAATTATATATATATATATATATATATATATATATATATATATATATATATATATATATATACGATTTCACAAAGTAAATCAGCTTACTGAATTTTCATGTTAATTTTTTCTAAATTGGGTTGTTCATTTATCCCCATAATGTTTATTGCTCATCATTTCTATAGCAACTAATTTCTTTTAGATATAGGGAATCTTACGTAAAATTATGTTTCATTTAGTTTAGTTATTACTCATTAAAGACTAAATGTCTAGAAATATTTATCTGATTTCATTAGGTATAGGTGATTTCGAATTAGATGTCATTGAAATTATCAAGCGGATCATTATTGACTTGTGGAATAATAAATAGTATGCTTGATCGGTTTACCTTCAATTGTGAAAGTTTATGTTTTATACTAACTATCGATAACGTTTTGTAGACAGTGCTTACCAGTAATGTAATGAGGGCTCCCAATTGCCCTGGTATGGCTGAGATTGGGGAGAGTCACCTCTCCATCTCCTAATGCTCTCACATGGCCACGTGCATACAACCACTGATAGCGAAGTCCTACTCACTGCCTTCTCGCACCACGCGTTTTGTTTAAGAAATTCGGAAGACAAAAAGCGAATGTCCGACGCTTTAACCAGGTTGGTGGACATGCAGAGTCCACCTAGGGGAGTTGAAAATCCCTGATTACAAACCAATGGTGGAGATGGACTCCAAGATCCTGAAGGAATAAATGGCTCATGAACCGATCGTTGGTCATCGGTAACCACGAAACTGCATCTCCTTACATTACTCCACTGCCTTGTGGTTTAGACCGTTAGGTCAAAAGTTCGGGATGTGATCCCCTAAGAAAACCACCTGCTGCTTTTTAGGTGCCCGGGTAGTATCTCAGCCCTCACACAAATCGAATGATTTATGTGGCGCATATCTAGTTGGTGCCTCTTTGCATCAATGTTTATGTGTTTAAATAAAATAATGTTGTGGGATAACTAGTGAGGATTTTATGAGTACTACATTTTTTGATTAATATATGTATGCGTTAAAGTAAATTGTCTTTCCAACTTAAGCACAAATATACTAAGGATTTTGTGTAACATTCATTTTTTAGAAATCCAGGTCGGGGTTTTGTTTAAGTAACAAAGGGACTTTCAAAATATTCATGCATCATCTACTTACTTAGTATGTCATTTTGTCAGTGACAAAGTGGGAAACTGATCGGAGAGATTTATTTATTGTATAGTATTTCTTCTAGACTTTTATGTATTATAACGTAGACAGTAAACTTCTCCATTGTTTAAAGTTACAAAATGTAAGAATATTTTGGCATGGGTACAGTAATTTCTTGAACATAGATTAAGATACAAAATTACGTATATTTTCAAATGTTTGACGTTAGATCAAGTTGTCAATATTTTTAATTCATAGTCTTCATTTTTTAATGAGCCCATTAAAAGGGAAATCGTATAATACGGATTAATTTTGATGTGATGTTAATGTATCTTACTATTCTTTTCGATTACGATCGTGTTCACTGAAGTCCGCATTCTTTTAGAGTACTGGAAACTAGACCCTTATTTAAATGCATTTATGGAGAAATAGTGTTGTGGTCTGTAGAATAAGTTCTTTTTATTTAATACTATCACGGCATATTGCAGACATGTATCAGATCACCTCACTGCAGTATATGAAAATGTGAGGGACTAAATCATTAAGTTTAAGAACGGAAATAAATATGTAGCCTTAGTTGGCATATAACCCTGCTTCGGTCTGGGCACCCGGACAGTATCACAGCGTACACACAAATCAAGTGACTTGTATAGCGCATATGTATTCGCTGCCACTTTGCACCAACATTTGTTGAAATAAATATAACCCTCATAACTGATAAATTTTAGTGAAATATATGATGAAATTTGCCATGTAGAACTGTTTAGTATAACTGAGTCATCAAGGCCATTAAACCTCCTTATTCCTCGGGAAAGATTTTGGTCGCCAAACCATTAAATAAAGACTGGGTGGATGCAATTATAATTAATATAATATGCAATTCTAGTGACATCAATAATGCAGACCGCGATGGTTGTTTCACTCCAGTCTGACGAAATAACTATGTCAAGGTCTAGGTGCTAATACCGATATAGAGTGTCGTATGTGACGATAAAATACTGGTTTCCGCTTGATACGGCATTCGAGGTCAGTGCAGTCACTCCTACCGATTCTAAGCATTTTTTCCTGCGACTTTGCTTTTACTTTTCCTAAATAGAAGTATCTTTTTTGTATTTTATGTTTGACGGCGAATGCATACAAGCTTCTTGCTTCATTAAATATTCTAATCCTGTTTATTTACATCAATTTAATGTATCCTTATAAGCAGTAAACCATAAAGGGAAAAGGGACACAGTATAATATAACAATCCCTTGCCGGGTGTTCACATCTCTTGATTGAATAAAGATTATCAATCGACTGCTAACAAACTACTTGGTATCAGTTTACTCAAACGCAATGTGACATATCGATGGACCACCAAACACTTAAATTTCGGTGTAAAAATGAATTTATTTTATTTGAATAGATAAATATTGGTACAACAGGACACCAAATATATATGCGCCACAAAAAACAATGAGAATTCAAAGAGAAAAAAAGAAGGTAAGAAGCGCAAAGAAAAAGAACAATAACGAACAGATTAGCATAAAAGTAATAATGGGGGAAACGGAAAGTTACAATCAGTTAAGGAAGAAACAACCATTTTTATGAAGAAAGTAAAAGGTCACAGCAGGATCGCCACTGGCTTCTATTCTGAGCCATATCTGATAACATCTCTAGCCACTGTGTAGCACCATCTGTCGGACCCCAGTCAGGGAGTCGTGAAGGACCAACAGAAGCCAGCCCTTTGTAGCCTTCTTTCATACCACGACACCATGTCATGCACTGACCACCTCTCCGCTTCTTCCAATCAGTCCCAGAGTCGGCAAATAATGCACGACGTGGAATTCTCTGGGACGACATTCGGAGAACATGTCCAAGCCACCGAAGTCGGTGTTTCAAGATGGTGACACCAATTGAGTTATCATCTCTGTGCCCGAACACACGATGCCGAACCTCTGCATTACTAACATGATGTCACTGGATGTCAGCAATCCTTCGGAGACAACGATGACCGAACACAGAGAGTCGTCTAACATCCTCAGCTCGGAGAGGCCAAGTTTCACAAGCATAGAGCAAAATTGCTCTCACCGACGCGTTTGTAGATCCGACCTTTTACAGCCAGACTAACATCACGCATATATATTTGGTGCCCTCTTGTACCAATATTTATTTGTTCAAATAAAATAAATAATACGGCCATGCCAGGGTATTTGGGAGCGTGAAAATGAAAATATAACTAAGAGTAATGTGCGAAATCCAAACACAATTGAATTGACTAAATATTAAATTTCACGGATCACAACTGGATTAGGGCTTCAATTCTTTTTCATTTTAGTCCATGTCCAATGAAATTTCATGTTTACAATTAAAAATTAAATAGAAACCCATAAAACTATTGTCTTTACTCCGTAACGTAGTCTAGAAGTCAGAGGGGCTCTGCACGAATGTGGATGGTAACTTTTTCCTAGCGTACTTGCAGTTTCTAACAGCCTATCAAAACTGATGAGTGTACAAGCGGGCACCTATGCTATTTATGTAACTTGAAGGGGAAGATGCAACCCTAATAAACCGTACAGCTGGCTTGGAACAGTGAAAGTGAATTCTTATATGCGTCACTGTTGTCTTTCAGATCCAGCTTTCTTCAGTCCACTTTTATGGCTACAATTCTGCCAAATGATTAAAAGGAATGCCTGATCTCAAGAAGTACGAGGTCTGTTAACCTGATATATGTGCAATGATTTTTATGCATCATCTGGAGCGTAAAGGTCAGCTCAGTGAACTTACTACTTGATTGAAATCCAGCTGGCTTGAAGAAAGTTGAGGGATTATTTCATGTTGTTTTTATCTTCATTCCTGGAGGAAATTCGACTGAATGACATTTGTTGTCTTAGCAGTCAACGTCTTTTCGGTTCATTCGCCAAGTGAGTCTGACTTAAGGCGTTAGAGCAGTGGGACAATCCTCTATGACCAGTATTTTTGGAGATGACTGGTTTCAAACACTATGCTTCTTGCAAATGGTTAGGTACGTTCGTTACTTCTATTTTGAGGGATAATAAGATACGAGATAAGAAACTGAAAGAGTCTAATCGGAAGTCAGCGTTGTGTATTAAGAAAGTATTTTTCGCCGTAAAAAAACAATTTTATTCACCAAACCTATTGTTTCCTGTAAGTAGAGGCATTGCGCTCTTCACTGGAATCAAAGCTAGATTTAATTCACTATTCAGTTGCAATAATCGCCAAGTCCACTAAGCTGTAGTTATATTAATATTTCGAACAACTGAATTGGAACAGTAAATAAGGACTTCCGTTTCGTATTTAAGTAGGGATTTCCGGAATAGTTTTGTATGCATATGTAATTAAAGCCAGTTCTGGTTACTTTTAAAGATGACCGTAAACAGACAAGTGGATGTGTAGAAAATGCTACCGTAAAGCTTAGATTGTCATTCTGATCGTTAACATCATCGTCTATTTCATTGAGGCATTCCTTTTAAATCCGGTAATAAACTTCAAAATTATTTAAAGCAGTCTGATGATGATAAATCCAAAGTCATTTATTCTCTTTACAAAGTTAGTTTGTCATAAAGAATTCATTCGATATTTACTCACATCTAGTTGGGAACGATAGTTTAGTGCTGCTAAAATAGTTAACTTACAACTAACTAACCGGTAACGGATTCGACTTTTAGACGACTTACTCAGGTCTGGATAGGTGAGTCGCGTGACCAGCATTCAAACAAGAACCGTGAGTGTATATAGAGTTGTTCGTTTTTATTTTATTTTGTTTATTTATTTCAACACATAAATATCGGTACAAGTGGGCACCAAATATATATGCGCCACACCATATTTGTGTGTGTGGGGGCTGTGATACTGCCCGGGTGCCCAGACCGAAGTAGGTGGTTTTCTTAGGGAGCCACACCCCGAGCCTTTGACCTAAAGGTCTGGTCCACAAGGCAGTG